CGTCCTGTATTGTAGTCGCACCCGGCGAGCACTGGTTCCAGGGCAAGCTGGAGTTCATGCTGAGCCAGCGCGGCAAGCCGCTGCTGGTCCACGACGGGCACACCTTCGGCATTCAGTACGTGCGCAAGGACAAGAAGTACTGGCAGTGCAACCTGTCGCGCAAGTTCAACTGCAAGGCGCGCGTGACCACCACGGACACCGGCGACATCATCGTGACCAACAATGAGCACTGCCACACGGAGATACGTCAGCATCTGCGCAAGGATTACCAGCGGAACAAGGTGATGATGAACGCCCTGATCAACCTGAGTACGAGTCACATGCGGCGCCAAAATATGGGCGGTCTGGGTGCCTTGCCCATGGTGCCCGAGGTCCTGACCCAGGGTACACCCATCCACGAAATGGTTCAGAACCTGCATGAAATGGCTGCAAAAGTATCGGCGGGACAGCAACATCATCAACAACAGCAACAGCAACGGGTACATGATTTAGATGAGCCGCTGGACTGCGGACTCCGATCCTCGGCGGCGCTCGATGAGATGGCGCGCAGCTTCATGACCAGCAATAAGCCCTCAATTGCCTTCCCAGGCAGCGAATCTGGTCATAACCAGCATGGTAGCGAAACCAAAGAGGAACCGTCGTGGAAGGAGAAGATCGAGGGCGACGCTTAGGCTTACATTCAAATAGCAGGTCAAATGGCAGTTAAGTACAAAAGTGGAATGATTGCAATAATACTCAAATACACTAAAGACGGCGTAACCAAAATAATTCCAAAGAATTTAGTTAATACATAAGCGAACGTACAATCTGCTAGAGCATTTCCATGAGTTTATCGTTTTTATTATTGTACGTTGCGTTAGCTTTACACTGTAATAAATGTTGAATTTGAATAAATCTTTTTATATGAACTACATTAGATGTTTATCACGCGGCTCAGCTTCTGGATGCGGTTGAGCAGCAGATCGCCCTGCTTGATGGTCGCCTGGTACTGCCAATTCTTATTATCAGGCCGATTGGTCTCCACAATGCCGCCGACGCGATCCACCTTGGCGTGCAGCCGTCCGGCGGCGATGAAACGGGCCAGCTCCTGGTCGATGTAGTCCACGGTTACGCCGAAGGACTCGGCCATATACTGCAGGGTGAGGGAGCGGTACGACTCCAGCAACTGGGTGTAGCCCAGAATACGCATCTCGCGCACGTAGTAGCGGTAGTGGGGATGAATAAGGTAGTCCGAGCGCAGATGCTTCTCTACGCCGGCCAGGTGTACGTAGAAGTTCTCATATTGGCAGTTGTACAAGGCGAACAGGAACTGTTTTACGTCGGGCAGGCCGTGGAGCACCTCCTGAATTTCGGAGCCTTTGATCACTTTGTCGCGCAGCTCATTGCGTGGCAGGGCGATCATGGCCACGTAAACGGTGTAGCGCACAAAGGTGGGGTAGTTCATCAGCTCGTATGAGGTGAAGGTGCTCACGGTGTCCAGGAAGAATGTGGCCGCCGCCTTGAAGTCACGCACCGCCACCGAGTAGACGCCCTGGTAGACCTTCAGCCGGTTGCGTCGGTCCCAGTCGCCGCCCTCCTCGATCAGATACTTGGCTTTGTCGATGTTGCGAGTGATTAGATCGTGGTCGAGGTAAAACAGTCCCAAGCGGATCAGATGGAATACGATGTCCAGGCGGTGGCCCAGGGAAACAGTCTTCTCGTACGTCTTACGGAAAGCGGTCTCTGCCGCAGCCTTGTCACCGATGCGGCACAAGTACTCTGACTTCTTCAGGTTCGCCTCGCGTACTTCCATCTCACCCAGATTCTTTTCCGCATCCTCGATCGCAGCGTCAAGCTGCTCCACCTCCACACGGTTGTTCTCCTTCATGCGCGCCAGCAGATCCTTGTCCACGGCCCAGCCGAGTTCCGTGCAGATGTGCTCATACCACGGGGCCATGTTCTCCGTGCGAATCGCCTCCAGAAGTTTTGCCTTCAATGCCGCATCCTGCTTGTATTCCGCCAGGGTGAGCAGAAACTTCGTTTGGGCCAGCTCCAGGTTCGGGTTCTTCTCCAGACCCTGCTCCTCCAGGTTTTCGGCAGGCATTTTGGTCGGATTTGTAGGTTGCGGTTTGTTACGCACAGAGAAATAGTTGATTTTCTTGACAAAACTTAATTTTGTTTTTGTCAAATCGCAGAGTCATGTACGACCAGTGTGACCCCAAAGTTATCGATGAATTTTACCGAATATTTTAAAATTGCCGAAAATACCAGAACATGTCCGTCAAGATAGCGATGGGTGTTTTTATTTTTAATTTATTTAGAAGTTCTGAATTTCATTTTAATTTAGAACTATAACGAAATGAAAAAGGAACTGATCTTTTACGTTAACTTTGTCGATTTCGTACAAAAAATCGGTTTGAAAATAATTGTTGAATCTATTTTCTAAAATAACACGGCTTAAATAATTGGTGGCAGTACTAAAGCTTCATATATCCTAAGAAGTAAACTCAATCTGAGATTTGAAATCCAGCACTCAAACATTTATTTTTAAATAAGTGAAAGACCATTTTGCAATTGGTATATACCGAACCTCGAACGGCCACACTAAAGGGGAGTGAAAATTGATTTTCTGATAAAAATTTTCGCTTGAAGCTCCAGCATCGTCCACTGTCCATGTATATATCTTATATTTGCATATAAATATATATATTATACCGACTTGGACTAATCATCAGATAGCGCACAAGATGATTGGCGGCCTGTTCGTCTACAACCACAAGGGCGAGGTGCTGATCTCGCGAGTTTACCGCGACGACATCGGTCGGAATGCCGTGGACGCCTTTCGGGTCAACGTCATCCACGCCCGCCAGCAGGTCCGCTCGCCAGTGACCAACATTGCGAGGACTAGCTTTTTCCACATCAAGGTCGGTACCCAAAGTCTCTATGTCACCTTCAGTCCCACTCATCATCCAATCCCCTTTCACAGAGAGCAAACATTTGGCTGGCTGCTGTGACCAAGCAGAATGTGAACGCTGCCATGGTCTTTGAGTTCCTTCTGAAGATCATCGAGGTGATGCAATCATACTTCGGAAAGATCTCCGAGGAGAACATCAAGAATAACTTCGTGCTCATCTACGAGCTTCTGGATGAGATCCTCGACTTTGGCTACCCGCAGAATACGGACTCCGGCACCCTGAAGACCTTCATCACACAGCAAGGCATCAAGTCGGCCACCAAGGAGGAGCAGATGCAGATAACCTCGCAGGTCACCGGGCAGATTGGCTGGCGTCGCGAGGGCATTAAGTATCGACGCAACGAGCTTTTCCTGGACGTATTGGAGTACGTGAACCTGCTGATGAGCCCTCAGGGTCAGGTTTTATCTGCCCATGTGGCCGGCAAGGTGGTAATGAAGTCGTATTTGTCGGGTAAGTCAGCCTAATTCAACGAGTAATTATTTCTATTAATAATCGCCATGTTATAGGCATGCCCGAGTGCAAGTTCGGGATCAACGACAAGATTGTGATGGAGTCCAAGGGACGCGGTCTCTCCGGAAATTCAGAGGCGGAAACCTCACGCTCCGGCAAACCCGTTGTGGTCATCGATGACTGCCAGTTCCATCAGTGCGTCAAGCTAAGCAAATTCGAGACGGAGCATTCGATCAGCTTCATCCCGCCGGACGGGGAGTTCGAGCTGATGCGTTACCGTACCACCAAAGACATTTCGCTGCCATTCCGAGTCATCCCGCTGGTGCGGGAGGTGGGTCGCACCAAGATGGAGGTTAAGGTTGTGCTGAAGTCCAACTTTAAGCCCTCGCTGCTGGGCCAAAAGATCGAGGTGAAGATACCAACCCCGCTAAATACATCGGGAGTGCAACTCATCTGCCTGAAGGGTAAAGCCAAATACAAGGCATCGGAGAACGCGATCGTGTGGAAGATTAAGCGCATGGCGGGCATGAAAGAGACACAGCTGTCCGCGGAAATCGAGCTTTTGGAGACGGACACCAAGAAGAAGTGGACCCGGCCGCCCATCTCCATGAACTTTGAGGTGCCGTTCGCGCCGTCCGGCTTCAAGGTACGCTACCTGAAGGTGTTCGAGCCCAAGCTCAACTACTCCGACCACGATGTGGTCAAATGGGTGCGCTACATCGGACGCAGTGGATTGTACGAGACGCGCTGCTAGGGCGCCAAAGCATCGCCAGCACGGAGCAAGAGTATCACAGTTGAATTTAACGAAATGAATGGACGTGTTACCGCATCTATTGGTATTTCCTCAATCAAATTGAACCAGCAGTTAATGTATTCCAAGATTAGTTCCAGCAAGTCCGGAGGACGCCCGAGTAGCGGGTTCACCCCGGGCACCCTACGCCGTATACCGCACACACTGCCTCCGCGAGCACTGGTTATGCGGGCGGGGCGTGTTCCCTATAGACATACCACTACTAGGTACTATGATTTACCCTACTATGTAATTGTAAACTATGTTGTTTTTATATGCGTCGCGGGACGCCTCTCAAATCTCACGCTCACGTTTCACAACTCTATTATTTGTATTATCGTATTATAAATATATAAATATATATATTAATCATTATTTTCATTGTGCAAAGAACAAAGGCGATAAATGCAACTAAGCGTATTTAATAGACCAAATCTCTGTCAGCGCTATCAATATTGATATTCAAGTGTTAATAATATTCGAATTGTTTAATAAATTAGCATGATATATACTAAATATAAATCTATTCTTTTCGGTTAAAGGGGATCATATATGTCATTGCCTTCTATCAAACTGATATGCCCTACAATAAAAAAGGAAGGTACGATTACAACCTCATAAAAGAGTGATATACCACTTTATGATCACCCCACAAGTGATGTCTTCGCTATCAGGTGTGCACATTGGTTCCAAATCAGCTAAGTCCAAATCAGTCCAAGTCACAATTATTGATGATGCCCAAAAAAGTGAAAACTAGTTTAAGGCAATGAATCATCTCAAAGTTGCTTATTAAAGTGATCTTTGCGTTTGCGGTAACAAAAAAGTGCCTAAAAAATGCCAGTACGCATGAAAGCTCGGTTATCGTGGGAGGGCTTTTCACAATTTTCCAAAGGCGACAAATCAATGTAAAAACATTTACCAATCCGTATCAAGTCACCCCACCGCGATAAAGTTTATTTCGCTGTGTCCATTAAACTATTATTTCTAGGTGTTAGCTGTTGCCAGCGCCGGATAACCTTGAGTGGCTTGGTCATCCAGATATTAATTAATTGGACTGGAAATTTTAATAAATCCGAGTGAGTGAAGCTTTTGCTTTGTTATCACTCAGCCGGCTTGGCCATCAGTGATAAGGTGACGAAAAAAACAGTACTGTCATCTTTTTGGCTGTCACGCTACACGTAACATGGATGACATAGTGCCCGATGTGCTGGATGCGGTTCCCGCTGGCACGATAAAGGTCGTCTATGGCGATGGCCTCGATCTGAAGCAGGGCAACGAGCTGACCCCCACCCAGGTGAAGGATCAACCCATTGTCAGCTGGTCTGGGCTGGAGGGAAAGTCCAACCTATTCACCCTGCTCATGGTGGATCCCGATGCTCCGTCTCGTCAGGATCCCAAGTACCGTGAGATTTTGCACTGGGGTGTGGTCAACATTCCTGGCGGCAATGTGGATCCTTCCGGTGGCCATCCTGTGGCAGCATACGTTGGGTCTGGCCCGCCCGAGGGCACTGGCCTGCATCGGTATATCTTCCTGCTCTATCGCCAGGAGAACAAGATCGAGGAGACGCCCACTATATCCAATACGTATGATATATATGTACACATCAGTCTTTTCTGATACTGACAGCTCTTCCTATTTCCAGTATTCGCGCAGGCCGTTTGAACTTCAAAGCCCGGGACTTTGCCGCCAAACACGGATTAGGAGAGCCAATCGCCGCCAATTATTACCAAGCCCAGTACGATGACTATGTGCCAATCCGAAATAAAACTATGGTTGGCTAGATTTGTGAATACATATATCGGGCAGGATTTCCAATTCCCCTTCAATAAAGTTTAACCAATCGCTTATCTCACTATCTATGCGTTGGGGTATTAACTAAAAAGTGCACGGAACTGATTAGCGACGGACTCCGTCCGGCGATAAAAGGCCAGACATCAGGGATCCGGGCCAGAGTCAACTCGCTAACGCCACACCGAGCAGAAGCAGCAGAACTATCAGCTAACATGGACACCGCCGGCATTATTCCCGACATTATCGACGTCAAGCCCGCCTCTAAGGCCACCATCACCTATCCTTCCGGCGTTCAGGTTGAGCTGGGCAAGGAGCTGACTCCCACTCAGGTGAAGGACCAGCCCACAGTCGTCTTCGATGCCGAGCCTAACTCTCTGTACACCATCCTGTTGGTGGACCCCGACGCACCCAGCCGCGAGGACCCCAAGTTCCGTGAGCTGCTCCACTGGCTGGTGATTAACATTCCCGGCAACAAGGTGTCTGAGGGCCAGACCATCGCCGAGTACATCGGTGCTGGACCCCGCGAGGGAACCGGTCTGCACCGCTACGTCTTCCTGGTGTTCAAGCAGAACGACAAGATCACCACCGAGAAGTTCGTGTCCAAGACCAGCCGCACCGGCCGCATCAACGTCAAGGCCCGCGACTACATCCAGAAGTACAGCTTCGGCGGTCCCGTCGCTGGCAACTTCTTCCAGGCCCAGTACGATGACTACGTGAAGACCCTCATCGAGACGGTCCAGTAATGTGGACACCAATCAGCCACTGATTAGCTCTCTGTGAAATAATAAATTTTAAATACGTACTAGTTCTCATAAAAGTTATCTCATACTTGCTTGTGGGCGGTCTGTTGGTCTTTTTGTGCCATTTCCATAAACAGCTAAAGTATTTTTTATAAGTATAATTTTGATAATGTTTCCGGAATTAAATTGGCCTTGCCCGAGACTTAAATTTGTCTTCAAAACGGCTCAGGGTGATATCTTTTCTTTAAAGTTATGCATATAAAAGCAAGAGAAAAGAAAAAGTTTATAATCTATCATTTATTTCCCTTTTGCTAAGTTAGGTGATATGGTTTTTTCTCAATTCATTTCGAAATGATTCATTTAATAGATAAACATTTGCCTTAACTTTGATATGAATTTGATTCATCAAAACTATCAGTTTCCTTTTAAAATTCGAACTTTGAACACTTGCCTGCTCACTTCTGATTACACCTTTCATATATAATCGAATATCCACATTAATTTTCAATAGTTCTACAATAAATGAGTTTAAATTCAGAAAAGCCAAAATATATTGGTTAATCTATTCCTTTTTGTTAAAGAACTCAGCCACCAGCTTGTTAAACTCCTCCGCATAACGTAGATGGATATTATGCTTGCCCTCAGGAAACTCGTAGTAATTTGCATGAGGTAAACGCTCCCTGAGCCAAGGAATGTGCTCCGCGGCTATCATGGGATCCTTTTTTCCATGTAGTATAAATGTAGGTATCTTTATTTGTTCAACTTCGGCGCGACAAAAGTCTCCATCCCGTTGGTCATAGAAGGCACATGCGGCGTCCACCCATTCAGCCCACAATTGGGGGAACCTCTCAACGCCGTACACCTTCTCCATGGGCTCACGCATGCGCGCCGACCACTTGGCTACATCCCGGATGTTCTTGAGGGCCTTGACTTCGTCGGCGTTCAAGTAGGCACCAGCTCCCCAGATGGCTAGGCGATCCACAGCCTTCTCATGGCGACCTGCGATTATGAGGGCCGTGATGCCTCCATCGCTCCAGCCCAATATCGAGAAGCGTGGTCTGTCTAGAGCACGCATTAAATCCACAGCTGCCTGGGCATCCTCCCGAAAGAATTCAAGACCGAACTTGCGCTGCGGCGGCACTGATTTGCCGTAACCCGGCGGATCCCAGGCGATGATAGTGTGTCCCGGCAGCAATTTCGGCAGCTGCTCGATCTGAGGCCTAAAGTCGGTCCAGGCGGAACCCAGTGCTCCTGGCATCAGGAGCAGACTCCGCTCTCCACTGCCGCTCTCCACAATGTTCAAATCTGAGCCATTCACCCGAACTTTCCGCTCCGTGTGCACCAAGCGCCAGGTGATCGCGGAACGGGTTGCAACAAGTCGGCATAGATTGCCCAGCATTACGTAAGCGGGATCTAAGGGGGATTTTGGAGTACGGCAACAATCTTAGCTGTTCCTCAAGTGCTCTTCAGATGTCCAGAAAAAGATATATTCGGCAAATTCTAATCTTTACACACGACGCCTTGTAAAGTGCACTTGATAGAGTTCCGTTGATAACAGCTGATTGATAAGAACAGCTGTAAGTAAACGATCGGATTAGTGTGGCTGCAAGTGCCGAGCCGCCATATACTGTTAAATCAAAATTAAATATACCAAACAAAACATTTGAAAGGAACCGTTAACTTTTAATTAAATCTACTTTAAAATGTGTTAAAATCGATATTTATAAGCATTGGTTAATATATCTGCATATTTTAAGGAATTTCCTAAAATTGTTGAGGCTTTTTCTAGCACTAACAAATAATATATTTTAACAATGCCGAAGTCTCCACAGAGTTTAAAATAAAGGTAGTTATAAAGCCCTTGAAAGTTCAAGAGCTGCCGCTTAGTTTGAATAAAAGCTTTTCGCTCTTCCCCCAGCTTTTTGGCATTCCCAATCCTAGTCCTTGCTAGTCCACTTGAACGTCACGACTCCGAAGGACAATGGACAGCACGTGCTGGCATTTGTTTAGCCTTTAGCGTGCGTTAAAATATTATTAAAAACTGTAAGTGCCCAAGAGCAGGATCCTGGTCCCTGCTGTAATGGTCAGTGCGTGATTCGTGTGCTCGAATTAATGTGTTCGCCCGGACTGCGACGAAGATTAATGGAGGCGACGGCCTTGCAATTGCTCTCCTAGGACGAAGGCGACGGGGTATGGGAAGAAACAGGGACAGGACACTTATACATACACCCACAATCGAGAGTAAGGGACATCGCATTCCACTGTCAATGCAAATGCAAATCGAATTCGACTACGAGTCGTCGAAGTTGCGTAGTAAATGTCAAGGAATTTACACGGGTCGTCTCAGAGATAGTGAGCCTGTGTGGGTGTCCGTTTGAGCTGGTGTGTGTTTGAGTGTGCGTGCGCCCGCAGGACACCCACGCACACAGCTAAACAAGCATATGTGTGTATCCATGTGAATGTGGCATCTAATACGCTTTAGTGGTGCAGGTTATGAACCTGCGTGCTATTCGCTCATTACGCATGTGTGAGTGGGCAGCTGGTGTCTATGTGTGCGTTTGTGTGTTAGTAGTACGCATATGCATGCCTCGTGCGAAGTAAGCGAGCTTTTAATTTTTGGCATTCCCACACACTACACTCAAAGCAGGCAGTCCTTTCCTTTTCCGTAGCATACTCTTTCGGGCAAGTCAACAAAGGAACATTATAAGCCATTAAATTCAAGATTTTCAGTAATTCCAAGCGCTTTTAACTTATCTATATATGAAATAAGTACAGTGAAGCACCCAACTCCTTTGTCCAGTTCGATTGTAGTGACCTTTTCAAGTCGTCTAGACCGCACCATTGGCTTTTTGTGAATAAGCTGGCGGAGCTTTCGTTATCCATTGGAAACAGTACGAAGAAATTAAGTTTGAAATTGCAGTTCAGTCTTGTCGTGGATGCAGCACGGATCGATATCGGAGCCAAGAGCAGCGGAAGGATCTGCTTAGCAAATTTCGACACACAACATTTTTGTATCCCTCAAAATTGAACCGAAAAATCTGCAAAAATAAATTCAACCAACTAAAACCAAAAAAACGCGTCGTGCCTACCCAAAAAGTTACATAAAGTATGAGCGACAAGGATATCGTGCAAATTCAAACGAATAATTGTGTAATTGAAAAATCTGTGTGCAGTCTCGGCAACTGTTTTCGTATCCAATCAATAGTTCAATCAATACGCATTAATAACTGATAAGTTTGCTGTGGAATCAACCGCAGTAAAGCGCCCATTTTGGGGCACTTGCTGTGAGGTGCTTAGAAAATTTTCGCCTACATTTGCGACATGCAGTGAAAATTTTTTCCGATTTTTAGTATGTACATGTACGTTGGAGCGCTCGTGGGCGCCACAAACTGCGGTGGCAGGGGTATTCGGCGAGCTTTTGGCCCATCCATAACCCCCCAGTATTGCTAATACAGCCGACTCGGTCGGAGTAGCGGTTGTCTGACAACGCAACGAAGCGAAATATGTGCCCGTTTTGAATTCATTTGCCAAAAAATTATGCAAACCAAGTGTACAAAATGTCGAAAACTGAAGGTGCTAAGCATTAAGGACCAAAAAACCAGGCGAAATCATAAGCAATAATCGGTGCAGTGCCGTTAACAGTCGACGTGTACCGTTAACATCCGCAGCCAACTTCGCCTGGCCGAGCTTTCGCTCTCGCGCGCTCTCACGCTCTCTCTTGGCAGGCGCGGATAAAACGGATTGCCGAGTAACACCAACACAAGGACACGCGAAAAGCTCGCGCTCAAGGACTGGAATACGCGACAGACACACTGTGCGACAGAGAGAAAGAGAGAGAGAGAGAGGGAAAAGGACACTTTACGTTTACGCGCGCAACGTGCGTAGGTGTCTCTGTGTGGGTAAGCCCGAGTGCCCCCGTGCGTGTGAATGAAGGCGCCACATAGTGCAACATATCAGGATAACTATGCTGATGCGGCCATGACAGCCAGGACACGGCCGAACATGGACAGGGATCAGCAGCGAAATCGAAATCCGGCGGAGCTGCGGCTCCTGCCCGCCCAGCGCACCTCCACCTCCGCCTTTGAATCCCCCGACTTGCGGTTCAACAAGGCTCGCCGCCGGCGGAGAAGCGAGCAAGTGCCTCCCGTTGTCGTGGAATACCGTCGCTCCTATCGCGTGCTAATCGTCAGCGCCCTGCTGGTCAGTCTGGCAGCCAGTTTCGTGACACTTAGCGCCGGATTCCAACTGGACGGCTCGCAGAACTCCTTCTACACCTTCCGCAAGTGGTACACCGGACTGAATGGGACCCTCGAACTGGAGT